CTAGTTTAAATGAATTCAGGATCAAAACAGTACTGAGTTCAATAACTTCAATGCGCAAGCGCAATGTCAAGGGAGGTAATTGTACCGGAAGCTTATACGGAGCATTCGGAACAGCATTGTTATTTCGATAAATTTGGCACACGACATTAAATTTTAAATATCAATTATCTTATGTCAAATAAATGAGGTGGGCGTGGCACATCCGGGTTTAATTACTCATTATTGACATTTTTGGCCAGAGTCTTAACTCGAAAAGAATATGTTTGTTCATGTTTTGAACCACTTTGTCTTAGAAAGTCAGTTGTTCCAGCTTCATAGTTCCAAAAAAGGAACAGGTTTTGGAAATTCAAAATATTAAGTTTTTGACCTTGACCTTTGTTGACCCTGACTTTTGTAGGATAAAACGTCATTGGCTATCTATTTATACTTTTATATTTGTTGTTTTATGTCAACTTTCGGTTTTATAGCCATGTGCAATTTGAAATTTTGATGACTTATATCTTGATCTTGACCTTCTCCTTTATAAGATCAAAGATCATTGACCTTGGCTATCTGCTGATATCATATCATTTGTGTGGTCTGGCGTCTACTTCCGGTATTGGAATCTTCGAAATAACGAAAATTTGCCAACTTAAGACTGTTCTTGCACTTGACCTAATTATCGTGGAAGATTTATTTTTTCAGCCTCTTTAGCAAATTGCTACATTTGCAAAGTCCCACTCTGTGCCACGTGTGGCTCTAGTCTTTCTTTGCTAACAAAACTTTAAATCACACATAGTAGTTGTTCATTAAAGGGACAAGTTTGCCATTTTGGGTGTTGATTTAAGTCCTGAATAAATGTAAATAGTCTTCAGAAATACAAGAAATGTACGAAAATCACATAATTCCTTTAAAAAATACTTCAAACTAGGAATTTAACTCACTATTTCCAGGGTGAGCTGCAAACATTATTACTGGTAAGCTCAGCTAAAGAATTCCGGTTTCTGAGACTAAAGTATGACTGGTCAAAAAACGGCCTTTAATGTTAAACATTGTATACATTGGCCATTGCTTACTAGTAGACAATCAGTGATCCAATGTATTATTGGCGATGTCGAGCAAGGACTATTTGAACCTTTCACATGAGGAATTAAATCAATCACAAGTGAGTAAGTATTGTATAATTAAATATAATTATGATATCATACCCAGCATGGCCACACACCCTTCGTTGCCGCTCAACATACAATTTAAACGCTCAAGGGAAGTAACTAATGAAAGTAATTTTTTCGTACCTGCCTTTCCAACGTATCTGCCTAATAGAGGTCACAGTTGCTGTAAGTTCTAACCTTAGTACTGTTTCAAGGTTAGAAAGAAATACTCTGGATTAGGTGATTGCATAACGACAATAATAATTTGAGCGGCTTATAGTATTTTGTTGAGTAGTTTCCGTCGATTTCCAACTAAACATCTTGAAACTCGACCCGAATATTCTCCTTAATGTGATCACTGCAATGAAATAAGACTTATGATTGCGTCTTCATGTAAACGCATGTGATACCAATGTTTTCAATGCTTATATTAGTACTATTTAGTAGTCTGAACTCAAGTACCCTATCTGTCGGATGGTTCATGTTTTAAGACCTGATCTTAAAATTTAAATGATCACATGATCTGTGACACCCATCAACACTGGTCTCTGAAATCTCTCAGAAGTCTCAGATGCTGCAAAGGCTGTCTGGTTCTCATTCGCATTTTTTCAATCAAAATTTCAACACCTTTCTCATCACTCAAATCTTTCGGGAACATCTGATTTAATCTCACAATTGGTGAAAAACCCCTAAAATAGAGATAATTCTACATTTGCTATTGATTTATCTTAAAATATAAAAAGAAATATTTATTTAATAACTTAGTATTATATTAATGATGTAGTGCCTCCCTGGAAATTAGCAAAAAAATAAATTGGAATTATTTCACAATAATAATAATAATGTATATTTTTAGAAAATATCAGATTGCAAGTAAACACGGCAATGTCGTATGATAATTTTATATAGCTAACAGGAAGAGGATAATTTTTATTTTACAAAAATGGAGGAAAAACCAAGTAAAAATATCGTTTGAGGATTTTAACCAGTCACAAACTATCCAAGTCGAGGACAACTTGAATGTTGAAATCGTTGAAACACGATGAAGATGATATAGAAATAAAAGAGAAACACGATGATGGAGAAATTAAGGAGAAATAAATAGATAAGAAACAACTTTTATTCTCGATTTTGCTATACTTTGAACGAGATTTGATTTGTTAAACGGAATTGTCTTGCTTACAGGAATTTTTTATCATAGAAATTAAAGATAATTATTTTGCAGAAGTAAATGAGCAACGTGATAGAGAGCTAACATACAACCAAAACGACAATTTACAGCGAAATCGGAAACACGATGCTAATGAGCTTAGAACGAAACAGGTAAAAAATAGAAGTGAATATGGTTAGACCGAAACATCTGCCTCTAGTGTCTTGAGTCCTCCGCCGCGGACCGCTTTCGCCATCCCGCCAGGTCATTTGAGACATTATCTTCGTGAATTGAAAAGCGCGTTTCGTGCAGGCTGCAATAAAAAGTTGGGATGTTTTCATTACATATAACGAAACAAGAAATAAATCTTGTTCTATTTCAACATACAAATGTTTAGCAATCCCACTGTGGCGAGTTTGAACGTGATTTAAAGTAAGCGAGCAATGTCATTTTTTTTTTAAATTTTACTTGTAATATCGGCGACTGCATTTTCGACTTTCTGTTGTTAACTAGTAATTAGACCTAGTCATAGATCTGTAGGCTGAAGGTTGCATAGCCTATATGACCTAAATTTAAATTTCCTCGAATTTTAAGTATTGTAACATGGCAATAAAAGTGGAGCATCTAAATTTGCTGCCTCTACACTAGTGGCATAGGTTAGCGATAATGAATGGGTAAGCATACCCTGCCGGGAACTATACCCGTCATAGCTGTTCAACATAAATAACAAATAAGAACGCACCAACAGAAGAAATGACGAATTGACGACGTAATTAATGTAAATACATCTTGTCCAATTCAAGGGAATAACTGATGAAAATACATTTCATCAATATCAGTTGTTTCTGAAACACGTGGAGCGAGCAGAATAAAGCCTTGTCTTGCCTTCCCATAATCGACTTAATCATACAGATGGATTTTACATTCATCATAACACGAAATACAGTATGCATATTGGATTGCCACAACAGTTACATTGCAATCTCCCACGAGGTAATTCAACCTGTTAGAACTTAAGAAATTCATAATGATTTTAGATGTTAATAGCCACAATTCAACAGCCGTATTTGCAATATTACGAATCCCTATTCCACAACTCGGAAAATTATTTCTTTTTTACCCTCTAGTTCTATTCTTTGCCATTCTTCAAATGCTTTTTCCTTTTTATTCATTGCATAAACCTTTTCAGACATATCTTTGTCTGTTTCGCGACTTCTGGATTTGGCGATACACCGATTCCGACATTTTAGTTCCAAGGTCATGTTTTGGTGTGTTCCTTTAAAGGAGTGAGGCAAGTTTCATATGTTTTAGGCGAAGATTACAACATGCTGAAAATGACAACTTGCATGACAATACTTCTGTGCAAAATTTGTGGTAAATAAAATACGTGTCTGTGCTTTTAACTTAAGACTGACAGTCAAAGCATCATTTTTGCCAGGAAGCGTCAGACTTACATCATCTCTGCAAAAGAAAGCTAAAACGATCTCGGAAACCGGATGTTGCAATACTAGTTATTTGCGTTTGAAATATCGGATCTTTTTGGTGTCAGAAAACGTAAGATACCCAAGCAGTTTAAGGGTTTTTACTCATCTATACTTCTTAACAATTTTGCCATAAACAATAGTATCAATGATTTATTTGCTTTTCTCTTTTCTTTTTTCGATACAAGGCATTCGATAACCACCAACTGATTGTGGAAGTGACTTCGGCTCATTCCATTATTTCTTTTATTCTTTTTCAGCTCGTGTGCGTGGTGTGATTGGAGATTCTACATTTAGACTTGGTGGTATGGGATGTATTTTAGGATGATGAAAAAGGGTTTTCTCCCAGCTCATTTTCAATCATTTTTAATCAGTGTTCTACAATCTGAGGTTTTTGTTGTAAACAATTTTGAACTATACTGGAAAGGCTTCAAAAGCTCACTTTCAAACATTCTGATACTATCCCTAATGATTCCATTCTTACAACTCATCAATTTCTGTCGAAATATTTTAATTCACCTACTGTTCGTAATAGATTACGAAACCTTTTAGGCACAACTCTAAATTTCGGATTTCTAGAATTAGTTTGTTACAATAATAAATGTTAGTGTCGAACTGCCTATCAGATTAAGCTCATGTCGGTGGGTCTACGGTTATAATAAGTGGACAATGCTTCGATGAACGGTTATATTTGGGGGTGGGTGTGGGGGAGATGGATTACGATGGGAGTTTGTGGGTTATCCGCGGACATTTTTAAGAATAAAAAGCCGTTATCGCCATTTCCAGCAATCTGAGAACGAACATCGCATGCACAGCGTTTCGTTTTCCTCCCACATTAGTCCAATTTTAAACAGAAAAAATTGACTTAATCTGAAATTCGACTGATTTCGAAATTCTTTCAATAGGTGTGACTAAAAGGCTTTTGAAGTATTCCAATGAAAGTCATCATAACGAAAAACACACCCTACTTACCTATCAACCTCAAATATGAAATCACAAAAACTTTCAAAAATATATTTTGCATTAAATGCAAAGGTCGAATTATGAGGAATTTTTTCATATTAAAGGGGTATTCCACTTTTATGTAAAACGTTTTCATTATCAAAAATCGTAAATTATACCTGAAAATATTTCTTAAGTATACTATTTATATCTGTGTAACAACTTGATCAAACCGAATTCCTTTAAAATTGGAGAGGACTAATTGTTAATTAAATAGCTTGGCTTAGTTTTGGTGATTGCTTTATAAAAAAGGAGACATATTTCTTCCAAACAACGAACTTTAAAACCGTACGTAATGTTTTTAGATTTTTTTGCCGTTGAAAATGAACTGCTGGATTTGTTTAGTTAAAACTTTCAGATATGTTAGAGGGCACATTTTTCTAGAAGCGTATTTGTTTCAGCCCAATCGGATTTGATTAGACCTGATACGTATTTGTTTCACACCCAAATTAAATCAAATCAGATTAGCCTAATCGACCCACCCCCTACTTGTGAGGGGGTTTGATGGATTTGGTTTTGATTAGGCAAGATGCCGGCTCACGGAGAAGATGAAGCGAGTACAATGTTTCCTAATGACGGCGGCCCTTTTCAAATCTATTTGACATATTTGTTTCAACTCTCAAATCTGATTTGATTAGATAATCAAATCCGCATAGGTTGAAACAAATACGCTTAAGATGTTGGTGTATAGTCTTCACAAATTTGAACTTTAAGATGCAACTTGTACTCCTTGTTCGTAAGGTTAAATATTCTAAAAACTTGTCAATATTCCGAAAAATTAATGCTGAAATCAATATGCTATGCTTTTTTAAAAACGGAGGAAGATATCCGTGTATAAAATTTTGTCCATTCAATATTGATACATTTTGCAACCGCATATTGTTTTATTTGTTTGTTGTTTGTTTAAGGGCCTAATTTATGTCACAACATAGACACTATTACCTTAGCACGACTGTAAACGCGCAAAGCTTGTAGTTTCAGTACAGAAGGGTACATCGTGCTAATGAACGATATACTATTGACAAGCAATATTATTTATATCTGTTCTATAAGATTATATTTCATTTTAATAACTATAAAATTATCCCTTTGATTGTTATTAAATTGAATTGTTAATGATGTAAGGTAAGCTTACCAGTATTGGAAAGACCAGAGAATCTAAATCGTATTCGTTAACCAAGATGGCTGCCACTGATGTCGCAAGGATAATAATAGTTGTGCAGTTTTTTATTTTTGGAATGTATAGCGTTCTTTCAGGTAATCAGGTATTTTCTTCAATTTCATTCTTGCCTACAGGAGAAATAAAGTTGTTTTGTGTCGCTCTCGTCTTCGACATACTCACCTCACCAATTATTTGTTAAAATCGTATTTTGATTACTTATAACCATATCTTTTTTGGAATGTTTGAGTTTTTGTTCTCTGATTGAGTGCAAGCATCTCAAACCTTTGAGATCCCAGCACTACCGTGCTGGATCTTTACATCAATTATTTGATCAACCTTCTATTTATGAGAAGGTTGTGGCTTTTTTTAAAAAAATTTTAAATAGATTAGTCATTGTTTGTTTTAAATATTTTGTTTGTTTTTAATACCACCATGTGGTGTAGTACCTGTGATATTGTTTTTAGTGTTTTCTTTTTGTAGTCATTAAATGACTGTTTCTGTGATATGGTTTTTATCTTTTTTTTTTCTTTTTTTTGTCACTATGTGACCTTTCTGTGATATTGATAGGTGTTTTATTGTTTTAGTTTTTTGATTATTTTAACGTATTCTGGAGCTATATAGCCCTTTTGGTGCTGGTGCTCCTTAATGCATTTCATTTCATTTTGAGTTTTTGTGTATTGTTGTAGTAAGTGTGGATTATTTAGTGTAATTTTTTTAGTATCATTGTTTATTACCAGAACTTTAAGTCAGGTCGTTCTGTGATAGTATTTATTTCGTGATAGTATTTATTTCGTTTTGGCTGCGTTTTATTTTTTTTATGCCAACATTTAATGTTGAGCTTTTCTTGGCGCCTACCTTAATATGAGTTATTGCCCTTATTCTTAAAAACGTTTCAATGGGGGTGATATTCCTATGAGTAGATTTTGTTTTACTCTACACGGAACGATTTTATTTTCAGAAAAACCGATGTTGTTTACATCTTTCCATTATTCAAACATAGTAAAAATTTGTATAGATAAACAATGGCAACAATACCATGCCAGCTCAGATGGTAATATAGTATTTTTAACAGCAGATATCAAACAGCGTGTCTTGTACTGGGTCACAAAGAATGGATACTTCTCTATGGCTCTGGACGGCAAGAAGACGGTTGTGAATCTGTCAAAGAAATTCGGAAATAGATTAATTTTCAAAGGTAAAATATACGTATTCTCTAAAATCGAAATAGTTTTGTGGGCTTGGATGTAATATTAATTTGCAATGTAAAAAGCAACTATTTTGGTGGGATTAATTATCTACAATTGGACAACTTCCATTGTTTATCTACAATAAGCCGACATGTTAACCTTTTATGGATTTATAATATAAGGGGTATTTTTCTATATCGGGGTACCAGTATTTCACTTGTGGTGCTTTTGACGAATTAGTTAAGGAAACATAAATATTACATTTACCCTCCTATATTCTATACAGGGATTTTAGTTAACAATCCAAAATATTTAAAGAAAACAGTGAATATGTTGCAAAATGTCAAAATCTTACGAAAGAAATTAAACAACCTGCCTATCCCTCTGTAAAAAGAATACAAACTCATCCTCGTCCTGACGCAGAAAATATATTGAGATCCGCTTTACTTATATCATTGAAAAGAAATGTTATTCTACGCAGTTCACATGATGGCCTTGAATTAGTATATCATATCTTCGTATTCTATATTTTTTAATATTGTATATTATAATAATGTCAATATTTCACGATGCTATTTCGTCATATTTGCAAATCAATCATTTTCATCTGACCCATTTCTTTCTTAAAGAATTTTTACAGCGCGCTGTGGTTTTGCGAAAATTAGATGATATAGAGTTTTTGGTACACGATGGAGAGATAATATTCGCTGCTATTCATTGGGGTTTGATGAAATTTGATGTGAAGAAGAACAAACAAGTTTTCAGTTTGACAAATTCAAATATAAAGAAATTTAACCCTATAAGTTCTCTGCATGAGATTGATACTCATGCTAATGAAGTCTGGTACGTTACTTGTTTAATATGTTGATATAACAGCTTCTCCCTGTCGACTGTGGTTTGACGAATTACAGCATGTACAGCTGTCATTTTACGACCGAAATTGGATAATTTTAATTAATAATAACCTACACCATATTACATAAAAATTGAAATTATTCTTTGTCAAAATAGTGAGAAAACGGACCAGAATCCCAGTGAACACGGGTTTTGCTTATAAATACATGGTTAGACTAATGCAGGTGGTTAGACAAATTTATTTGAGGTACACGGCATCTTATAACGTGAAGTGTCTCGCGCACACCTTACAGATCATTATTCCACCAGAACGACACGACAGAGACTTGCATCATTCTCTGAGATAAATTGGACCAAACAAGCCGTTGATACGATCTTGATCTATTGTGTTGCAGTTTGTATTGGTATGGACCAGGTGAACAATTAAGCAGATATTTTATAAAATCTAATATAAACCAAGTGGTTGTTCAGTTGAGCCAATCTAACTGGATGCCTTTGAATGTGTACCGTAAGTATTTCCTAATGTAACAATGATATTTTCTTTTCGTATTATTTCCACGACATAATCCGAAGAAAAATAATAATCTATAAAATTTCTGGATAAGGTAAATACAATAACAAAAGTCGGCTTAGTAAGTTAAGGTTAACGTCTTTGCTGAAAGGTTTTAAACAATTACAATCAAATGTACACTACGCATTATCTTTGGTTAGTAGGTGTGTGTAAGGTGATGATGTTCGTTTCATTTTGTAAAATAACTTCTGTGATTATAATGAAAGGAATTAAATGGTTGTTGAAGTCGCCTCACACACATATTCTCGGCTACAAATAAAAAGCCGTACAAGCAAAACAATTCCGTTTACCATAAATCTCGTCCACAGCATGACAAAATCGGGAGCAAGACTTGTATAGTAGTGGGCTCAATATCATATCAGCTTTTTGTAGAATTATGTAGAAAAATAAAATCCAAGTGAATAATAAAATAACATCTGCTTATACTTAGCAAACATGATGCACCCAGCAAGCATAGGATCATTACTAACTATAGTCTCTGCAATCGTTTTAGTTGTATATTAAATATGTCGAGAGTAGTACTAGAGCTTTCAATATGTCCGCACTTTCCCCATTCCATTTAATTCCATGGGAAAAAGTGCGAACATATTAAAAGCTCCCCACAAAGACCTATACACCCTACATTCCATCAACCCCCCCCCCCCCCCAAAAAAAAAGTTATCCATGCCCTACATTCCATTAATTCCCCCCCAAAAATGACCTGTTCACCCTACATTTCATCATTAAATTAACGCATTTAAAAATAGGATGAGTTTAATTTTAAAACACGAACAACACAAATTCGAAGACGGTATTTTTTCATCAATATTTTCTCTAGGTTCAAAAATAATTCTAAAAGTAGGCAGATTTATTTTAAACAATAAATCCCTCATTTCCTCAGAAGCTAAAGCTATAGGATCTGTTGCGGAAGCGGGAAAGAGTAAAAGTGACGAAAAAAGAATTACAACTAATAAGAGAACTGCGAAACAGGAGATTAGAAGTCAAAGGAAAAGGTTTTAAAGTTATAGGATAAAAATGATAGTCGCTCACACTCCTAAAACTTATTTTGGTTCAGATATACGAAAGTGATTGGGCTCTCTTCCTGGTTTTCCATTTGCAAAATATCTTGGAGAAAAACATCTTCCGGGTCATAATTACACTGGTCCAGGTACTAGGTTAGATCTACGATTAGACGAAAACGATAAACCCAAACCAGGTAAAGAACCTGTCAATAGAGTTGACGCTGCTGCACCTAAACATGATATTTTATACAGAAATAAAGACATAAAGTTTAGACACGAAGCAGACAAACAAATGATAATCGAACTTGAAAATATTCCAAATTCAACTGTCAAAGAGAGAATGCAAAAGGCTCTAATCATAAAAGCAAAGATGAGTATGGGCTTAGCAGATAAAATTCACAAAGAATTTAGAAAAACTAAAACTTTTCAAAAGTATTTGAAAAAGATGAAATCTGGTCAGCTGATTTAATTAATATGCCAGTCGAAAGAGGATATAAATATTGCTTAACATTTATATACAAGATATGCTTGGGTTATTCCTTTGAAAAACAAAACAGGATTATCAGTCAAACATGCTTTTGAAACGATTATGAAACATAGAAAACCACAGAAATTAAGGGTAGTTAAAGGAAGCGAATTTTTTAATAAAAATATGAAATCACTTGGGTTTAAAATTTACAGTACTCATAACGAGGAAAAGCTGTAGTAGTAGAAAGATTTTACAGGACGCTTAAATCAAAACTGTTTAAAAAAAATTCACAGAACTAAAGTTTCAAAAATGGTTAAAGATTTTACCCACTGTAGTATCGGAATATAATAATAAAATTCACTCTTCCATCGGTGTTTCTCCAATAGTAGCTAGTCAAAATCCAGATATCAAAAATTTTCTTCTATCCTTAATATTTTTGATAATGAAATAAACAATTTGAATATTAAACCCAAAATTAAAGTTGGAGATCGCGTTCGTATTTTCAAATAAAAGTAAATTCGAAAAATTTTATGTTGGATACTGGAAAAACGAAATATTCATCGTTGATAAAGTAATCAGCACATCACCTCCAACATATGAATTAGTCGATCAAGACAAAGAACAAATCATAGGTAGGTTTTATCAAAACGAACTTCAAAAAACTGACTTTTAAAAATGAATTTCTTTCTCTATAAATATGGAACTGATACAACTACAAACTTTCAACTTATGAGATGGGCGAATGAGTTAAATATATAATTTACTATTGTATGAGAGATGAAATAAATGATCGCAAATGTAAGAAAGGTAAATTTTATGCTATAACAAATATACATACTTCCAATCAAAGCGGAGTTCATCATGCTGCTTTGTACAAAGACTCTTTAAATAAATAAAATTAATTAATAAAATAAATTTCTTTGATTCTTTTGGATTAGAACCAAACAAACCGAACATTTCAAATTCAATTACCAGGACAAAAGTTTTGTGGACAGCTTTCACTTTGGGTTTTATATCAGTTAAGCTTGGGAAAACAACAGTTTGAAGAAATTCTAATAAATTTTACTTTAATAAAAATGGCAATTTTGGTTTAGGTTCTTTATCTTTAGAAATTAAACAACCTAACACTACAGCATGGATAAATAAAGCAAAACCTTACTTTGTGGATCAAATCGGAGACACACTTCAAGGTGATTTAGATATGAACAATTTCAAAGTAACTAATTTAAAATCTCCGGAAAATGATAATGACGCTGTTCACAAGAAATATTTACGGGATCAAATAAATTCAATTGAAGTAAATAAAAACCATTTAGAAGCTAAAATAAGTAATGTGAAAAGATTCTACAAACGTCAGCTAATTAATAAATTTTTTATCAATGATACTAAACTACAACAAGGCGTAGCAGGTTTAATAAGTTTTATTCAAAAACAATTGTTCAATGTAGTGAACAAAACTCAGTTACAAAATTTAATTTTATTAATATCTAAATTAGATGATAAGATTGCAAAACAGAAATTAGACATTCAACAATTAATAGATAGCATTCCAGATGAAAATGAAGATACATTTCAACAGGAATTGATGATCTGGAGACTAAACTTAGCAGTCAATTACAAAAACAAAATACAAAATATTGATGATAGTGTTATTCAACAAGAGATAACCACTATTAATAATGAAGTTTTAAAACAGGAAAAAAATATAGCCACATTAGAAAAAAATCTCAAGGAAGAAAAATAAATAAAAAAATATGGATTTAAAGTAAAAATATAAATATATTCTGTTACAAAGTTTGATAATCCCCATAACATGTTTAATGGTGTATTTAATCCTCAATCAGATTTTGTTTTCCGAGGAAAAATTCTAATTGAAATTATTTTCCTTTGTAGGTAAAAGTTGATTCCATATTCTTCAGACAATACTCACTTACATCTAATCAATTTAACGCTCGTAAAGTTCTTCAGTTTATCAATGGTAGAGACAATGTAGAAACTAAAGAATTCGAAATTAACGACGAAAAAAGCAAGGCTTATCACTTATATGAAATTAAAACGAGTGGAAAATATATAGATAGGTTTAGAATGTTAATCATACCAGATAAAAAAAAAATGATTATTCTCTTGAATTGAGTGAATTTGATATGATATTGGAGACGGAAACTCCACCATTAATAAACAGTTAATTTCACTGCCTAAAAATGGAATTAGATAGCAGACAAAACAGAAAAACTAAAACACTTCAACAAATGCACAAAAACATGGAGTAAAATTGATTCTAAGCATTAGAATCATTAAGCACAATTCTAACAGTAGGAGTAACAGTGGCAACAGCTTTAACTAGAGGATTAATGCTTCCCATAATTGTCCCAACTATTTTAGCTGCATTTACTGCTGTTCAAACATCATCTTGTGGATTGATTTTTACACCAAAACATCATTATGGTTTTACATCAAAACAGAAATCTCATTATAAAAAGAAAACAGAACTTTTAACATATCTTAATAAATTATTTGTATTTTTCGAAAGATCAAGGGAAGATTAGAACATAACCATAAAAGAATTGGAAAAATTCAATGAAATTTTAGATAAATTTGATGTAGAAATATCATCAATAAAAGTTAAAAATTCCTAGTTAAAAATAGATACTAAAAAAATATGAATATAATTGAAATTCTAGACGATGAAACATTCATATCAAATGTGCTTTTTTCCAATGTTATCAAGGCTATCTCTGAATATTTTCAACATTTAAAGGACAAATTGAATTAGATGGAGAGATACTTCTTGATAGTGAACACAAACAAAACATGCAATTTGCAGGCTTTAATACCATTACTTATCAAAATTTCTTTGCAACAGTGAATGTAAAATCAGTTGCTTCTTATTGGTATTCTACAGGAAATATCATTTTACCTAAAGACAATTTCAAAGAAATAAAAAAATCAAAAAAGTGTAGTAGTTCCACCCTACTCAAAAAGATAAATGAATATGCTGGTATAAATTGTTACTTACCAAGCGATGGACACTGCTTTATAAAGTGCTCAAATCGTGTTTTAAACAAAGACTTCACAAAAGAATTTCAAGATTTCATCAACAGTTTTTCAAAATCAAATAGAAAAGGAGTTATGACAACTGCTAGAATCAGTGAATTCAATAAGAAATTTAATACTTATTTTCAAATTTATATGCCCAAACATAGACATTTTCAACCAAAGAAAGTATCCGAGGAATTAGATTGGGTATTTTACTTACATAAATCACATTTCTGTCTCATAAAGAGAAATAACAAAACCTTAAAGATTGCATTGATCAAATGTTGCAACGTTTAGGAAAAGTAGATCAAAAAAGATTAACATTAATTTCTCATAACGGTAGCGGCTTTGATAACTTTGATTGTGCTTTAAAATGCAAAAAAAACTAACACCATGTCCATTAGAAAAAGCTAGGGGCATTCTATCTCTACCTTTAACTTATTCATTCACCGATGAAATATTTACAGAAAAAATGGAAAAGACAAAAACAAATAAATGGCAACTCTAATTATCTGCAAAATATTAATTTCTTATATTTTTATCAACATGAAAAATCTAGTTTGGCGGCATGGGGAAATTCACCTAATCTACAAATGAATTTGAGAAAGATCACTGATATCCATGTTGCTAAATACACCGAAGATAATTGGGAATCTTTAAGACATGAATGGGAACCTTATGCTAAAAGAGATACGTTATAAAATATAACAAAGTTATGAAGGAAGTTGTATTCCAGAATATTTCCAATAATCTAACGGTTCCTTCTTTATCTTTAAAGGGTTGGTATTATTTGTATCATTACCATAAAGAAATGGTTGAAGAAGAATGGTATGAATGGTTCCAAAACACACTGAAAAAGAAAATATAGAAAAGGTTTATTCACACATCCCTCCTTTTATAAGACATTTTATAAGACAATCCATCCAAGAGTTTCTGCTAACAGAAAATCATTTGAAACGAACAAAATGGATGAAATTTGTAATGTATTAAAGGAATATACAGAACTCGAGAGTAGTAATATAATTACTTATTTAAGAATTTATTTAAAGAATATAGTAAAAGTAATAAAGATAAAACGGAAGTTAATTCAAAACTTAAAAAAATAAAATGTACTAGACTAATGGCGTTCGACGCCACGGTTTGTATGCTTCCGCCATGTCAGATTTAGACAGGGAATATCATAAAGCGGAAGACCGTTTCTACCAGAAGAAAATAAAGAATTTGTTAAGCTCTTTAATGAGCAGAAATTCATACCTAGAACAGCTATCTTAAAAGTCTGGTTTAAATATCCTACCAACATGTTCTTCCAACCCATACCAGCTAAAGATAAAATTACTTTTACGAACAAAGAAGGTAAAAGGAAACTGGTACTAAATTCAGCTTTAGAAATGGTTTCTGTTCAGATGTTTTAACAGTGGTTGATTTTCAAGAAATAGTTAAAGCCGGTGGACGAATTATTAGAATATTAGATGGTATAGTATATGAAGAAAATTGTAATACTCCACCATATAGAGATTATATTTTAATTTTGAAAGATCTTAGAAATAAATATAAACGAGATGGTAATATTGTAGGTAGTAATTGCATGAAATTATTAGGTAATTCTTTGTATGGTAAATCTATTCAGAAGGATATAGCTACATCGATTCACATGTCAAAAGCTGTCCTAAAGTAAATGAGACTCAATTTATCGTTGAGATAAATGAAGAAGAAAAAGAAGTTGACTGATGGATTTTATAAGGCGGAAATATACATACAGATACTGATAGTTTTTACATTTCATCTAACAATTGGGATAAATTAAATGAAGCTGCGTTGGTATCTGAAAATGATAATTGTAAAGGAAAGAATGATTACGGTGATGGTGGAATTATATGTGGTTTATATTTAGCGCCAAAAGTCAAATATAATATTATTCTAACTTCCGATGGTATTCTAAAGGAAAGGAAAACGTTTAAGGGTTACTCTAATGATAAGATAAGTGTAGAAGATTATATTCAATTTGACGAATGAATTTAAGAAAAGATGGGAAAAGAGTTTCACCAATGGAATAGTTATTCCAAAGGATGATGATAAACAAAAGAAAGTTTTTAGAAGTTATTTGAATCTCGTTAAGAGAAAGAAACCGGGCAACGAAGGAATCATGTATCGTTATGGTGAAAAAAATGAAGAAAACTATGAATTTGATGATTTCGATTACCTTACTATTCAAGAAGAGAATGAAGAGTGTTTAATTACTCAATAACGTTTGTTTTAAATGAAGTTGAATTACAATTTTCTCGTTACTAAAATCAATAAACCTATTTTTACCACCTTTGATTTCCAGATTTATATCTTTAATCATAAAGGAATTAAGTGGTAAATATGTTGTTTGAAATGGTTTCTCTATACTTCTATATCCAATTGGTACAGTGAATGTTTGAATGCTGTAAATAAACTGGCGTTTGTATTTGTTGAAAAATCCACCGTTTATCAAATTACAGTTAATATTAATGACATCGATATCATTCTCGATATTAGATTTGTGTGGTGCTAATGTTGATACCTTATAAAAAAATTTTTTTATTAAAGCCTAGTAAAGTATCTAATGAATTTTCTACATTGAAATCAACCTGACTCTTATTTCTTAATAACAATTTTATTTTGTTCAGATTCAAATTACCTTCGAATTCAATATTGTTTGTACCATTTACACTTCCTCCATATTCAGATAGGTATTCGTTAATGGCTGCGTATTCGTAGCTTCCTGGAAGTAAACTTATGGTTTTGAATGTAACTCCATTGATATTTTTATTTGGTTATTATTTTCATTGATATTTCTAATCGAATTGTAAATAGAGAAATACTTTAATCCCGATTCATACTCTTGATCGCGATCGTGTTCATACTCATAATCTAGAGACATTTAATGTCTGATTTATTTGAGGTGATAACGAATAGTTGTTCTTTATTTGACATGTTTAATCATGTTTTTATAATCATTTTTATCTAGTATACCTTTCTAGAGGAGTCTTTTTAATATGCAATTTACTTCATTATATTGTCTGTCTGATCGATGACCTTCCTTCATTGCCGCTAATATTATTTGTAATCTTTTAAGTAGTTCCTCGTTGTCGGATAAAAACGTTATACCTTATTCGGATACCATATCTTCGAATTCGTCTATTTCTTGTGTGATTGAAGTGTCATCTGAGTTCTCAACTTCATATTCAACATCTAATTCCTCAACTTCATATTCTGGTGCAGAAAAGTAGGACGTAAAACTCCATTTCATTTTCAACTTCATATTCATCACTAATAACTCTCTTATATAGTTCAACTTCTTTCGATCTTTTTGTTTCGGGTCCTGACTTTCTAATTGCATGTAGAAAATTTGAGTATGCTACTAAATCCTTGTAATCGGCAATGCCAACATCCTCGCCATTCATTAAATCTACTAATCCTTTTGATAATGTAAATATATGCGTATCGATTTTGAATTTCCACTAAATTTAATTCTAAATCCATTAAACAATAACCCCTCATAATCAACGATTGGTGTAATACTCTTTGGTAAATCTGATTTAGGGTTTGAAAAAAGACGAGTTATATCATCAAATATCCTAATTATAATACCACTATATTCAATCGGTTTTGGATCGGGGTGATCTATACGAGGCGTGGGTCTATATTCTAAAGCTAATTTCTTTTTAATATCCTCTTGAGTTTTTAATATTGGTTAAAAATTTTTGTAAATTTTCTGTTAATCCACGTTGTTGTAATTTGTTATTTTCAACCTGTGACTTCATTGTACTCTTAGCTTTGATATATTGTGTATTTCTTTTTGAAATATTATTCCAATCGTTACTAATTTTTTTAAAAATAAGATAGATATAAGGTGATATACGCCCACTGGCAGCTTTGATTTTGAATAAAAATATTTAGCATTAAAGTAACACCAGTATGAAATATTCAACCTTCAGTCATGCACTTCTTTTGAACTCTTTAGCGCAACACTGAATAATATTGAGCATGAGTTATTGCCCTTGTTCTTGAATTTTTAGCTCGTGAAAACTCTAAAAGGCAAATATTCAATCTTCAGCGCGGGACTGAATAATAAAACCAAGTTTTGTCAAAATCCAGCCAGAATCATGCCTTTTAGTGTTTAAGAGCTAAATTTAAAAGCGTTTTCAAGAACAAGGGCAATAACTCATACTCAATATTTTTCGATTTTTCTGATTTTCAATAGGGTTTATCTTTGGGTGATAACAAACACTCATGCCAAGTTTCGTCAAAATTCGTCAAGAATTATCCCATCTAGAGTGTTTACAAGCTAAAAATTGAACGCGTTTTCAAGAACAAGGGCAATAACTCATACTAAATATTTTTCGATTCTTTTGATGTGCAATAGGGTTCATCCTTTGGTGATTACGAACATTCACACCAAGTTTCGTCAAAATCCGTCTAGAATTGTGCCTTTTAGAGTGTTTACGAGCTAAAAATTGAACGCTTTTTCAAGAACAAGGGCAATAACTTATACTAAATATTTTTCGATTTTTCTGATTCTCAATAGGGTTTATCCTTGGTTGATAACAAACACTCACGCGTTTTCAAGAACAAGGGCAATAACTCATACTTAATATTTTTCAATTCTTCTGATTTTCATCTGGGTTCTTCCTTGGGTGATTACGAACACTCATACTAAGTTTTGTCAAAATCCGTCAAGAATTGTGTCTTGTAGAGTGTTTACGAGCAATTGTGAACGGACGGACGGACCGACTGACAACGGACATGGGTGACGGCAATATACGCAACCCATTTCATGTGGGCGTATGGAAATTAACATATGTCGACCATAACTCATTCAATCGCAGGTTTTCTAGTATTAACAAATATATATCCATGATCATCTGGGTTTCTCCATTGAGCTTTATAAATTTTTTTAAATCTATCTCTATCAATTCCGTGATTTATCGACTGAATGATTTGAGATAAATCTTTGTCGTTTAATTCAAATAATAAAAAACAATTTGCATTTTTTGTAATAAACATAGAATCCACCCCGTAAAAAGATTGGGATTGGTATATGCAGTGACAGTTGTGATATCTTCCTTTCGTGAAGAATTCTTGTTCTACACAGTCGTCAAATACTATACTATTAAGTTCTTTCGCTAACTATCAATATTAGACAAATTTAAACTTTTATGTCCGTTGGATTGAAAGATGGATTCTTTGCTTTAATGAAGTTCTCTATGATATCTTTTATTTCCACTTCTTCTTCGCTGTCTTCAAAATATTGAAATATGTCTTGAACATCTTTCATTGGTAAATATTCTAAAGCTTTGAGGAATTGATAATATGATCGCTCTGGTGTTGTTGTGTAGATATACAGAGAATCGAAATCTAAAAGATTTAGTGTTGTCAACATGTTAAAAGTGAGATGGGTTTTCCCAGAACCGGAACTTCCACAAATACACATGAGCATTGGTTACTAGGAATTATTTCTGAATGTTTGAATTTCTTTCCCATTTTTTATCTATTTATTATTTCTATATTTTTGTTCCAAAAATCACTCCTTCTCCTTTATACTTTGAAAGAATTAATCCTTCTCCAGTGTGTATGTTTTTTGAAAGTATTCCATCACCCTTATGTTTGACTTTCATTTCTCCCGAGTCGATTTTGTCTATGATACTGTTTAATCCTTGTTTAACAGTTTTCCTAGTTTTCCAAATTCTTTAACTGTACCTAATATATCTGCCACTCCTGAACCTTTTTTTGCAGTAGCTGCTTTATGTGCTTCCTTTTCAATTACTAAATTATGTCTACGATCTTCGGCGTTTCAGCATCAGCTGCTTTATTTTCGTTGGCAGCTTTTACTGCTGCAGCTGTACACCAGTTATTGCACCCGCCGCAGTAAGACCAGCAAATTTCAATGGTAGGAATGGTAAAAATCCACCTTCCTTTGCGTTCGCGCCAATTTTTTCTAAGTCTATTTCGTCTTACAATATTTGTATGTATCAATAAGTTTTTTTTAGATACGCTGATCTTTTTACCGTTGTAGGTTATTACAGTTGGTGAAGCTGTTTCTGTAGCTTCTATTATTTTGTTAACTAAAGTTGCTGTCTTCATTTTTTAAGGGGTATTGTTTTACTCAATTCGTATCATTCTTCTATCTGCTATTTTAATTAAATGAGCAGCAAACAATACCCGGTTACATCTCCTTGTGTTTTTTCAATATTAATATATATATTTACTCCTGTTTTGAAAAGATCTTCTTGGTGAGCTGATAGATCAAAACAGAAGATTGGGTGATTAAGTGCAAAATCTACTGAGGCGGATTTCCAAATAATTCACACATATTTAGTTTCTATTCAATTCATTATAATCCTTTGTGGATGGATTAATTGTTAAAGTTTGGTTAGGATAATTATTGTTGTTTAATCTTACTTGAACATTATGGATTATAGGATTATATTTTGGTTCAATGCCACTCTAAAGACATTATTGTTATTCGTCTGAAAGTCTGGTAAGTTCTTGAAACCAACCATTAAATAGTGGATTCTCCAGTTAAAGTCATGCTACCTAGCGTGTTATGACAAAGAAAAGCTATTTCAATATCTTTAGTCAACATGTTGAATATTCTCGTTTCTACTTCAATTGGTGGTTTTATGACAGGTATATAAAGTTGGAGATTCGTTATTTCTAATTTTACATTGGAAGCATTCTCTTCAAAGAATATCTTATCATCATTGATTTCTCTTTGTAGATGAATTTTATATGGTAATCGTACGGAAACCTTTCTGTGTTCCAACCTAGTAATAATGGATTTAACTTCCAATTTACGTAATTACCTTAACGATTATTATCAACGGAATTGTTGTACTGAAGTACTCGTTTTTCGAATCCATGATTAGCTGCTCGTCCTACTTTGTCTTTGAGCAATAGCTCATTTGGAACATTTCGTACTGGTTCTTTAAAAGCACTTCCATCGCAAACATCGGGTATCCAGCCTGAATCGGAATTGAAGTCTTTAGGATATAAAACTGTTTTCAAAATTTTATCAAATTCCCCAGGGTGTTTAATGGTTTGTATAGGATTTGAACCAGCTTCCAAAACCATCTCGCTAAATAAAGATGGAAAGAAATTGTTTTCTAACGTTGTACTAGTTTGTGGAGCTCGATTTTCATTGGTAGTTCCATCTTTTATTATGAAATCGAATCTGAAATTAGCATCAGAAAGAAAGAACCAATTTGATAATGAATTTAT